GCAGGCATTGGAACAGGCTGCCCAGGGCAGTGGTGGAATCACCATCCCTGGAAACGTGTAGATGAGGCCCTCAGTGATCTGGGTTAGTGGTGGTCTTGGCAGTCCTGGGGTAAACGTTGGCCTTTACGATCTTAAAGGCCTTTTCCAATCTAGCTGATTCTATGATTCTAAGTTGTTACATCATTCTCACTTTCTGCGTGGGGAACTCTCAGCTCAGTAGGCCCCTCTGCTTTGTGAGAATCCCACTTCTGGCAGCACGATCTCCCAGGGAAGGTTTCTCCTACACCCTCCAACACTGTTTTTAAAGAGACTGCGAGTTCCAGCTACACCACTGGCAGGATCGTGCTCCCTCCCTGTTGTGGAATGCTCTCTTTTCCCAAGGCAGCATTTATAGCTCTTCTAACCCCCCAAGCAAAAGACAAGTGCTAACTATAGTAGCGTTTAGCCAAGTATGTGATACATTCAAAACGGCATGGGGAAAATAACAGCTATTCCTGTCCAGCATGTCTGGTGCTTTGCTTTAGAGCAACAGATGCCAACCATCAGCTTAGAAGCTTATTAGCTGCTTACACCTGACTCTACCTCTGTCTACAATATTTTCTTCTAGATGCTCACAGCAGGCCACCTTATTCTCCCTAATCTATTAGAAGTTTATTGCTCCTATGTTTCCAGTCTGCTATATTTTTTTTAAACCCAAAGATTGCCTTCCTTTCCAGCCACCTCAAAACAGAATGCAATATCTCAAAGTATACAATTCATATAAAAACAGACACAGGGAAGGTTTGTCTTGGCCTGAGCTTCTCTGTGTAATTAATGAATCAAATACAGGATTATGCAGTTCACACAGTACATATTTATGAAACTGACTTTTGCAAGTAATGGTTGGTGATTCAGCAATAACACATAGTTTTCTTCATTTAAAATACTGATCCCTGAGGGAACTATATGGCCAGGTTTCAAAATATACACCAAATACTTCTAGCCTAATAAACAGCACAGAATGTTTTCTCTGTGTAAGACTTCAGAGGATTCACATTTTAGAGGAAGTGAGACAAGAAAGGAAGAGCTTCCAAAAGGTATTATCTAAAATGTTTGTCATCACAACCAAGATATGTCAAGGGGATATTAGAAGATAAAAGGAGGAAAAATACCTCAGCAGAGGGGAAGGAGATGTGGCCTACAACAAAGCGAAACAAAGTGATCATCTAGTGACAACAGGCAGTGTCATTCCTACTCTGTCAGGTTAAAACTAAGTAAAAGTCCTCATACTGTTATCCATCATACAGAGGCTTCATGATGAGCAAAGGTATCATTAAAGGACTAAAACAATTTTTGCTGGAGAGTTGGAAATTGAGATCTAACTTCAGATCATAACTACCAAAAATTTTAGAGTGTTATGTGATACAGAACAAAACAAGGATAATCTTTGTTTTCATTTTGTTTCTGCAGGTATTTGACTAGAATTTTATTAGACACATAACATAAATCACACGTAAATTATTTTGCTCAAGCACTTGCTTCACGGAGAGACAAAACGAAGACTACACACTTAATCATGTTAATTTGCTAGCAAAATACTTTCTTCGGTTAAGGAGGCAGCTCACTCAGCTGTTGTGACTTTACAGTCCTCTTGCTCACTCAACAGAACAAACACATTGTCATGAACACAGTAATGAACTAGTATTATTTATCACTATCAAATATAGTCCTCTGTAAACACTGCTAGCAAATATGTTGCTTAAGATGTTAGTAAAGACTTCACTGTAGATTGGATATTTTCCCCTTGTCAACTTTCATTAACATTCCAGTAATTTTGTTTTCCACACACTGCCTCTTTCTCCTACTCCCAACTATAGGAATTACATATACATAAACAGAAAGCAGCTATCAGGTGTAGTCACAGACATCATTCTAAACACAACCAAGAAAAGCCACAAGTATTAACAACTTAAAAGAATGATTAAATGAGCCCAAGTACCATGAATATAGGAATACACATCAGGTCCTCCCTTGATCATTTCGGCTTGATCAGGCTATTTTAGTAGCCTGAGGTCAAGTCACTCTCAATGCTCTCTCAGTTTACCTATATTTGCTAAACTCATTTTATAAGTAACTGCTCAGTAGCCTCCTGTATCTCAATAATAAGCCACAAGTATTAACAACTTAAAAGAATGATTAAATGAGCCCAAGTACCATGAATATAGGAATACACATCAGGTCCTCCCTTGATCATTTCGGCTTGATCAGGCTATTTTAGTAGCCTGAGGTCAAGTCACTCTCAATGCTCTCTCAGTTTACCTATATTTGCTAAACTCATAAGTAACTGCTCAGTAGCCTCCTGTACCTCAATAATTTGATCTCTACACTGTAAAAGCAGACTTAAATTACTAGCAAAGAAATTAGTTTTCTTTCAAATTAAAAAAGGGACCTGTATAGTTTACTACAAAAAAAGTTATGTGCAATGCCACCTGACCCTAATATCAAAAAGGCATAATTTAAAACATTTTCCATACTCTAAAAAATATTAACTTGGTGTATGAAGTACCTAATTCCTGTGACACAGGCTTTGCTTTAAGAATTGCTTGTAATACTGGATCCTCCCATGGTCCACCATCTCGGATGATTCGAGTTACTAGTTCCAGGTTCATATTTCTGTATCTACTGAGAAGGTTCTGACATTCCTGCATGTAAAAAGAAAAACGATTAGAAAAAAGGGGGAAAGTAAGAAAGTTGCCTAAAAATAAAGTCAGGTCATCCAAAAGATACAAGAAAAACCAAACATGTTTAAGTATTTCCTCAGTTAACAATTCAAGCAACAAAATCTTTTCTTGACCAGGCCTACACAAAGCCCTAAAGCAACAACTTACTTTCTCTAAAACCAGTAATATACAACTGTGGAAGCCAGAATGCAAGAGCCTGCCATTTGCACAATAATGTAAAACTGCCTTTCCTCAAATTGGAAATATTACTGGCATACGCTGTAGAAGTTTTCACCTCATACTAGTCTACACAGATTTAGACATGCTGCCGCTGGATTTGTGATCCACTGATGGTGTCTGAATTCTATGAGGGAAAAACCGAATTAAGCCATGTGAATCACCAGCCCTCAAGCGACCATTTTCCTCCAAATCTCTACGTAATAGAAATTATGCTTGCCTAAAATAATCCAGCATGTTTTAGACATCCATTATTTTCACATATGTCAAGTTCCCCCCAACCCTCCACACACCTTACGTTTGCTGGTAAAAGTGTCAACATTAATGTTAATCAACAGTAGAATTTTAATCACAAAAGGTATCTAATTTTAAAACAAAAAATGCAGCTGAAGAATGGCTTCTATGCACATACAATTAACTTCTTCACACAGGCTTTTTTTCTGTAAATTCTTTTACTTTCAACTTCATTTTCAATTTTGTATTCAGATGAGTACGTTTGAAGGTAAAGAACGGTTAAGTAACTGAAACAAGTAGTTTGATTACACAACTGATTCAGAAATTCTTAGACAGAAAATTGTGTAAAGATCTATTTTAATACATTCATTGCTTAAAAGTCAAGGCAATTGAGAATTCTAATATAAAGGCACAGAGAAGAAAGCATTATACATTACGCTTTTTGCTTATGTCTCTCTTATTCATAAGAAAGTTTATGAAAAGTGTTTATTGTAGGTCTGCCAGAATTACTCTCCATTACTCTTACGCAAGAGATACTACTGATTCCTGAGGCTGCTAAGCCAATTCCTTGAGCTCCTTCTTCCACGAATTCTAATCTAGCGCATAATGGCTGTTGGTTTGATAATTAAGGTAAGTAGTGGTGGCACATTAATTTGTAGCAGCAGTAACAAACAGGTATCGACATAAAAATAACAAAAGGATAGCTATTTCTTAAACTGCAGTTCCATGATGAGTATCAACAAATGAAACAATCCTGTTGTTCATCTTTTCTGTCCCTACACAAAGTTTCCTCTCACGGTGGCACAAAGTGCTTGTGTTCCCATGCAGTGAACTGAACTCTCAAAATCAGTTCAGGTCCAAAAAAACAACCAGAAACAACTTATCTGGCAAAAAAGTGCAATTTTGTAAATCCAGGCTCATTTATCTTATGTAGTTGTATACAGCCATACAAAACATTGTCCCAGTCCAGCCAAGAGTACAGCAGTTTCAAACAATACAAGTTTATGCTGACCTGAAGAGTTCATTAAATTTAACTGTTTAAAACCATAGAGGGAAACTTGAGGTTTCATGTCATGAACTGGTGTGCAACACTGGATTGCATTAAGCTCTAATCAGTATAAACAAACAAAGCTTCCCTCTTTTATATGGGAAACACCCAAAATATGTCTTTAACAAGAATGTTTTTATAAAGAGAAGTACATTTTACGTAGTCCAAACAGATTCAAATAGCAATACTAACAATAAATGTAAGAATAAATGGCTTTCCCTTCAAATACCCTTCCCTCTTTTTTGGAGGGGTACAAATATAGGTAAACCAGCTACCTCTTTTCACTATAATGGCATGTTTCCTCCAGGTTATATATCCAAGAAAACTATCTTTACATGTACTAAAATAATATTAAAGGTTTATATGAAAGTAGGCAACACTACCTGGATTGAACCTAAAATATCTTTCAAAGGATCTTCATAGAACTCATCCTTTCCAAAGAACAGCAGCAATTCAAAAAAACTCCTAAAAAACAGAAGTAGTGACAAGTCAAACTAAAAATGTTCATTCGAAAAAATGAAACTACTGTAAGTCTATTACTTTTCACAGCACTGAAAACAAAATTAGGACTTCAGTAAGTTCTAGACCCGTGACCATGCCAGAGTCACTCTCAAACACTTGGCTAATGCCCACACTCTCTAAATCAACTCATATTTCAAGAACTTTATGTTGGTCTGTTATTTTGTGCTGGATTTTGGCAGATTAAGACTCCCACACACACACACACACCTAAAACACATTTTTCATCAGGCATCTAATTGTAAATACAGTACAACAGTTTATACTTAAGCACAACTTAAAATCCCTTCTGCCACACGTTTTTCATAAATTTGGGACATTTAGACTCACAGTACCAGCCTGATCTTCTCCCTCAAGAGCTCTTATGTGCTCCATACTGCTGCTCCCCATTCACCATTCCAAAAGTGAACCTTCCTGAAAAGCCCAAGCAGTTGTCACATATGCAGCAATTTTGAGGAAGAAAGAAGACTACTGTAAAATGACTACAGGACATAGAGTTTATATGGAGTTACGTTCAAGGAATAGTAACTTCATGTGAATGCTGATTCCCAAGAATTCATATTTTCAAGTATGATAAGCACTTTTTACTAACGCATTCTATTCCATTTCAGCCTATCTTGACAAAATGCCCACTGAAGTCTCTCTGTGAAGATACAGGTTTAAAGGTGCTATTTATTTAAGATTTCCAAATAAAAGCCTTTTACCATGAATTTCCAATTTCCCAAAACAACTTTTGAAGATGACTTTCAAAAAGAGAGCTTTTTTGCTAATAAGCAAATGGAACTACATTTCAGCTTCTGTATGGCATTCAAATGAATTGATAAAACTTCAATTTTACCACCAACAAGTTCTTAAGCAAGAAAGGTCTACGTGCAGCAACATGAATTCATAAGTGTTGCCTCAAAACCAGTAGCAGATAAAGCAGAAAGCAGGACTGATCCTTTCAACAGCAGCCTAGATGGAAACTGACATGTGGCCTGGATGTTTTCAAGCATCTTAAAATATTTGTCTAGTTACTTACTTTATGTACTACTTTTAATAAAGTGACTGACACAAACAATCCTGATAGCAGAATCAGAGATGTTGGCTGGTAAAAAATAGCTTTCCAGAGCTCAAATCACTTTTGATCTCCTCTTGCAGAAGCACATTTCCAGATAATACTTACAACTCAGTCAGTTCCATCAAAAACTAGATAGTTGGATCTCATGGATCTGCAGACAGCTCCAGTGCACCTATTACTGATTTGCCTTAAGATTATAAGAAATTTAATTTCTATTGGGAAATGGTAACTACCAAGTGCTGCACTAAATCTGCAATTGCTGGTTGAGAAAGTCATGAGCAGCAGGCAAGAACTGAGCAACTCTCAGAGGGAAAGACGGTACTGAAAGAATACCAGAAGAAGTACTGTTCATCTAGGGCATTACAGAAACAGGGCTGATTTTCTTCAAGATTCTTCTAGACATTTTTTTCCAAATGAAGAGGGGGAATAATGAGGTAGATAGGAGAAGGTGGAAGATGACTCCTCAAAGAGATTTCAGCACTCTTCCAACCTACAAGTTTTTGAGTCAAGATCTTACTGATGGCAATTGCATTTCTGACTACAGTGTTCAGTCTTCTGTTGCAACAGCTCTTAAAGCAGAAGGCAGATTTTCATGAACAGCTGGACAAGGAATTCTCTTGCAGAACAATTAAACTCACTGCAGTTATCAGTGAGTAAGTCCAATTTAAATGTACTTGAAGAAAACACCCAGAGCATTCCTAAAGAACAAAGTATTTAATTTTTAATAAAGCTAATTCAAAAGAAGTTAAAGAGCAGACTGAAGGCATTTTTTCCCCTCAGTAAAATTTTCAGACATGCTGTGTGTTAAACAATCTTAATATCCACATAAACAAAATGAAGTTTTGTATGGGAATAATGCAAATGTATCATGAAATTAGGTTTCCTTTAGATTATGCTGCAGTAATTTTTTTCCTAACCAGTGATAAATTATGCCTAAAACAGCCCTAGAAAATTTAAGATAGAAATCCATTATGTTCAATGACAGGATTTTTTTCCAGAGTAGGTCCTTGAATCTCAACTCGAACATGGACTGAAAAAACAACCAGTACCCAAATAAGTACTTTGTTCTGAAAAACATTATCTCATTTCATGTTGATAAACAAAATTCTGTAGCACACTTGACTCTCAGGAAAGGTCAGACATGAGTCATGTCATGATCTGGAAAGCAGCCAGACTGGAACTTAAATAATAAGACAAAACTAGTTACAGCAAGTGATGCATGCATCCTTTTTTAATTGCGTTTACAGATTAAAGAGAATAGAACCTTGGGAAAAAAAAAATCATCTGGAAATTAATAGTGAACAAATGTAAACTACGGTTTTCTTCCCTGTCAATGCACCTGTTGCACACTCTTATCAGCCTAATAAAGGAAGCTATCAAAATATTTCTATTTCCTTATGACCAGTCTGAGTTAAAATTACTACAGTCAATTCCAGCTTGGCCCAATTATCTTAAAATAGTCTGCAGCATTGCACATTCATATTTACATCCATCCATTCATAATAATGGTGCTTATAGTTATCACATCACTATTTTGATATAATGGGCATCAAAATATTGCCCAAGAATGCTCGTATGGTGGCACAAATATTAAAACCCCCTGACATTAATGGCAATACAGATGCTGCTTCATTTGAGGTGAAGCAAGGCTACTAAGTAAAGGAAATGCAACAGTCATTATTGTTAATAGTTTTTGTCTGGTTACCAAGGAAATGTTACTCAAGTATGACAATACAGTCAGGCAGATTTTTGCTGTCCAAGAACTAAGGCTTAATATACACCAAATTTTCAGAAGTCATTTGAGTAAGGATTCCCAGGTAACTGCAACTGCTAAGCCCCCAGGGCTCCTTCATGGTATCACGTGCAAAACTATGCCAGTCAACCAGAGTCAGAAGACAAAATAAGCTGTCATTCTAGAACGGAAGAAAATCTTAGTGAATAAACCCAGCTCCACAAACCAAGATAGAAAAGGGTAACAGGAATTCAGTCACCAATTCACTTCCAGATTATCAGGGAGTAACCACCCCACATGCAACAAATACTTGAATTTCTACTATTTTTCCCTTGCAAGCTTTGCTATGTAAAAGTATATAAAAGCATAGTTTGAAGCTCATGAGATTCCCTTCAAAAAAATAGTAGTGGAAAAAAAAACAAAACCAAACCCAAGAGGTCACCATGTTCTGATCCAACTGCTAGTTATTCTCTGATACTTGACCATTCTGGTTTTAAAATTGTGGTCTTATGATTCCATAAATAGTCCTATGTCAAACAGTTTCACACACACACACAACCAGCAAATCTCTTTGGTGAAGTTTCACCAGCACTTAAAGATAGTGTATAATTTGTAAGCATACAGAATAAAACCTTTTCTCCTACATAATCAGTACTAATATCTCAAGAACAGTGGGAAAAAAAAAGCAACCCAGTCCTCCTGACCAAGTAAAGTAAGAGAGGAAGACTAGGAGAGCATTCACTTCTGATGAGTAGATGAGGTGAGAGCAAGACATTCCCACACAAAATTCTGAACTGAGATACCGAGCTGTATTTGAAACCACCGCTCAACAAGAAAGCAATTTAACCAGCTGGACAAATATATCTGATTTGCTCAAACCAAACTCAAAATATAAAGCTAGCTTTTAGGCTTTTGTCCCCATCTGCTGAGAGAAGATACATCACATCTCTGCTAAGAATATCTAACTTGCCTTAAGATTTTTTTTTGCTTCCATTCAACAGTGAGGTTTTGAAACCTGAAAAGTGGGTTTTTAGAACAAGAAAAAAATGAGACTTTAAGTGATCTACTAATCATTACCCTGACACTTTCAGCCTTCATGTGGGAAAACCACCAATGCTTTAAGAAAACTGAGATTATAGCAAGATTTATGATCTAATATTCTGCACTTCTTCAAGCTGAATATGACTTTTGGTCAGTTAACTGTATAACAGGTCATTTCCATAGGCATTTTGATGATTCAAACATAAACATCCATTTTAAAATTGACTAATTTCTTAAACACTGCAAGAAATTAACAAATACTTAGCTTAGCAAATCACTAGAGGTAGAACAGTAAAAACTTCAGATAAATTTACAGTTACGTACTGCCAAAAAAGGCTGGTCTTCAAAAAAGCCAAAATAAGATTTTTCCAAAAAGAAGTCTGTAATGTGATCACTTATTTCTTTGTATTATTCATTTTGCCAGAAGACTCTTATGACACAACATTGTAATGCCTAATTTGAATGTTTAACAAGGACATCAAAAAGACTAAATTCTAGGGTTTGTATCCTCACTTAGTAATTCTGGGTTCTATGTGTAGCTGTGTAACCCGGTAAAACCGCTTTTAAACCCTGAGGTTCTCAGAGATTCTGTTGCTATTGTAAAAGTAACAGAGTCTATATTGTAAATGAAATAATAACAAAACCATATACTTACAAAGCTAGGCTACTCAATACGTATTGTACGTGCTCACATTCAGCTGGGAATGATACACAGGCAGACGTGAAACAACAGAGTGCTGTCTGAAGCACCTGAAGCTGAGGCAAAGGAACCTGCCATCTTCCAGCATAGTCTTCAACAACCTAATGACAAAAACATTGAAATACATATCACAATGTAAAACATTTAGTCAGAAATAAGTAGTTAATACTGTACCCGCTTTATCTCTCCTTTTTTCCCCCTCAGAAGTAGGGTTTGTAACCAAAAAACCTGACCACCTTGTGTTATCAGACCGAAAAAAATAAAGAGAAACTTTACAACCTATATTATAATAGATAAACCACAAAGGACCTACAGTTCTTTTCAGAGGGAAAGGCAAAAAATAGTCTTCTTACACAGTGGATAGTACACTCTTCATTTAAACACAGTAGATAGGACACTCTGCCTTTAAACATAAGGTTTTATTTTCCAAGAAGTTACAAATTAGAGAATCTGTAACAATATCCAGACATTCCATTCTAAAACTTTCCAAAAGGGGAAAACTAGCCTGTGCTCTTCTAGCCTAGACCTCAGCACAGAAAGGCATAAACATACCAGTCACCCTTTCTTATCTGTTCAAATAAGTCAATTTGGCCTTTTTCATTGATACAATGGAACTAAGGATAGTTATGTCCTGATCTACATCTACAAAACTGCATCACTGTTTATAGGGAAACATGAAGGTGAAACACAGGTGTTTCAATGGAGAAATCCTTGCCCAGTCATCTAGTCAATCTTGTCTGTATTAATAAATACAGATTTCTAGCACTGCCTTTGCTGACATTGGGAGGCTCAGTAACCCAGCTCCATCTGGTATTTCTACACGTGTATCCCAACACTGAAGTCCTCTGAAAGGCCCAGTCTATTTAGAGCACTCCACAGATAAAACACACAGCACAGAGTTCAGCACGAAGCACAGCAATAAAACATGTCTGTAAAGGCACCCACCAATTCTGTAACAGACCAGACATTACATTCAAGTCCCCCAGCAAGCAAAATGCCTTTGGGTCACCTCTCCTGCTTTAATCAACAGCTAAGACAGAACTCATGCAGCAGTCTAAGCAGAGACTGAAAACTGTATTTCTCCCACACTCTTGGCACATAGCTTATCTCATTGCACTACTGTCAGACACCTTTTGCTCACTTACTCATGCCTTATTTCTTCATCATAACAGCACAGCTTCAATATAAGAAGAGTGGACTAGCTGCACTTCAGGGCCTAAGGCATTGTTCTCCACCCGAGGAAACCTAACCTAGATCTTTTACATCCCGAGAAAGTAAGAAGCAGACAAAGAAACACAATGTCATCAGTTGTGTAGTAAAGACAAAGGTAAAGCACTCCATAGCATACGGAAGAGACAAACAACTGGTTTCAAGCAAGCATGAAGTGCCAATCCTAGTTACACCTAGCCACTTATCTCAAGAGCCAGGCTGACCAGCAAAGCACGGACTAAACCAAAAATCAGATCTATCCCTCTTCAGGAGTTCTTTTTGACCTAAGTCTGTGAATCCCACTTAGACTTGTCTCATTTCCCAGAAGTAAACAAAGGGCTTGTTAAGACAGGTTAAGTGGCCTGCATTTTTAATTCCAAAGCTGAATGCCTAATTTTGTTTAAGGCTCTGCAACAGGAATAGGCCAGTATCCCATTTCTGACCGTTTGGCTATAGCCACTCCAGAGCAAAACAGCTACTGATAATGGGACCAGTAGTTTTTTCTCCTCACCAATAACAGCTGAGACTGATTTATAAGTACATTCTGACTTTCCACAAAATTTTAATAATCCCTGTTTGAAGAACTGTTAACTTAATACAGCAAATACCTAGATGAACTCGAAGAAACCTGCAAGAACTGTAGATACTCTTCCCTCATGCATCTATTCCACATTCTCCAAAATACTTTTAGCAAGGTCCCTCATGTAAGAAAACACAAAAGACATCAGAGAAACAACGTTGACAGAACAAACATTCTTTAGTTGTTTTAGCCTCTAAGTGGACAAACAAAGGTGCTTCACAACACTCTGACCTGAGAAGCACAGTATAGATACGCTCATAAGAGATTTCAAACAGAGAGACAACAATTTGTTATGATGGTAGCATAAAGTACTACCTGTAAAGAACTGTAGAAAGGGTTTATGACAGTGGGCACTGAAACTCAGCTTAGACAAGTGTGCAGTGGTACTTTGGGACCAGAACAATCCAAACATGTAACACGATGGCCTTCAAACTGACAATTACTATCCAAGAGCAAGACTGTTCTTATGGAAGACGTTTTAATGAAAAATCACCTTGATGCTCATCCCAATAGCCAAGAAAGCAGATTAAATATTAGGAGAGTAATAAGATAAAGCAGTGTTAACAGCTTAAATCCACAGCACATCCCCGCACATATGAAACTGCATGCTGGTTTGCTACCCACCCGTTTCTATCTCAAAAGAGAATGCAGAAGGCCTAAAAAAAGCTTTGAAGAAAGGCAAGAAATGCTAAGTAGTGAAATAAATTTCACATAAGGATCCATGCAGCTAACTAGGACACTTCAGATTGTAAAGAAAGTACAAGTGCAGGGGGAGGCACCGAACAAGGTTGGCAAGCAAGATCAAAGTAAATTACGGGAGGCAATTCTTCACACTGAACAGTTTAGCTGTGGGGCTTCTTACTAAACGGATGTTGTGGATGTTGAATGGCTACATGAGATAAAAAGATATCCACCAGAAGTTACTAACTATAATAAATACCTGAACTGTAAATAGTTGGAGAGGAGAAAGTTACTGTATTCGCTTGTCTCACTCTTTGGTTAGGCATATATGAACTTCTGGTTAGATTCTGGTCCTAATAATGTCCAAATACTGAATGTAAATAATCACCATTCAAAAGCAATACAGCAAAGGCTCATGCTAATGATTAAAGTTAGTGTAGCTTCTGAAAGGTGCAGTCCTACTGCTTCCATTTTATCAAGAGCATTACAGTCCTACTAGTTGCTCCCAGTGCACCTGCAATGCTCCACTGAACCTGAAGCAAGCTAAGTCACAAAATAATGGGCCGAGGACAGCCTCTCCCAGAAAAAAAACCACCAGTCACTGCCTGCATCAGCTCTCTGCTCTGGCCTGTCACAGATGTCCCAGCAACATTGCCTTAGTTAGGCAGTTAGTCTGGAACTCAAATGTATACACAAAAGGTTCACAGCATCTGCCCTGCAACTCCTTCAATTGGTCAGCAAGAATATGAATAGAGTACTTCTCTTCTGAGTATGGATACCTGAAACCATGCATTCGTCAGTCCCAGGGGGAAAACAAAAAGAAACCAAAAAACCCCAAACCAGAAGTCTAAAAATGGGTCAATTATCAACAGACTTGCAACAACCACCAGTAAAAGATGGAGGGGGAGATGGCTGAGAAAAAGCTAAACTAAGTATGAAAATTTCCAAACCATACTCCACACACATTATATATGGAAGGGGAGGTTTGAGAAATAATATATATATATAT